CACTTTTTTACTTCCTTACGGAACAAGATGGGACAAGTTTACAGTATGTATGAAGTTTTATTTTTCCTCTGCAGTCAATTGGTTTTATTGGACCTGGGATAGCTCTTGTTGGTCTAACAATGGCAAGAAGTCCATCCAATGCATCTGCTTGGCTTACTTTAGCAGTTGGGCTAAAAGCATTCAGTCATTGTGGCTTCCTCGTGAACCTCCAGGTTAGTATATTCCGTGAAATTCATCATTTGATCAGTTGGTTTTTTTGCATCAGACCTGATATATCTTGTACCATTACCTTGTCAGGAGATTGCACCACAGTATTCAGGCGTCCTCCATGGTAACTCTGTTGATTTTCTTGCAAAGTTTTATGCATTGTACTCGTTCAACTTTATTCTCCTCTACTATTAATCTCCTAGTTCTACATACCGATATCTAATTTATTGTCTACATGGGAGTATAACCTCAGTATACAAGGCCAGCCTCCCTCCCCTTTCAACACTTCAATGAACATAAAAAAGAAGATCCCTGTTAATATCTTCAAACCTCGTTTATTCCTTTAATTTATGAAAATCAGGCATGAAATTTTCTTGTTCAAAATCTTTACCTAATTCTGTCCCTTCTGTAAACTCTAGGTATATCAAATACTGCTGGTACATTTGCTGCTATAGTTGGAACGGTTGGTGCCGGCTACTTTGTGGAATTAGTGGGTTCTTTTAAGGGATTCTTGTTGCTTACAGCTTTTCTCTATTTCTCGGCTGCTCTCTTTTGGAACTTTTTCGCCACAGGGGGGAGAGTCAATTTTGATGAAACTCTTTAGATGTCTGTATTTCTGATAGTTTCCTGTTTGCTCGCATCATCTTTGTAAAGTAGTTTATAGAAACGAGAAAGGGTTAAGGATATTACCAACCCTTTTCAATCTAGCAAGTTCTTTTGGTTTCTGGGATGCAGTACTGTGGGAACTGGGAAGCCGGGAAGGTACTTTTTGGCCAACGAAAGTCCCAAATTTGTAAAATTCTGATTGCCTTGTATAAATAGGATGCTGATCCAGCGGTCCCTGCAGTACTTGCAGTGTCCATCAGCATGGAGAGTGCCGCTGTTTGCTTAAAACGCTTGCCAATGTTGGCTGACTTGTAACAATCTCGGATGGCTCTCTACTAATGTTTTGGATTTGCAATTTCAATTTTCGTATAACAATCTGACAAAGCAATTTGCTTAAACACTAATGTGGTGGCAAATGTATTGGTTTCTTTGAATCTTTGTTCTCGGATTGAGGAAGACGGAGGATGGCCTTTCCTGGCTCGAACTCTGCCTCTATGATTATTGAATTATTTGTTTCTAAACAACAGGAGGGATTGCCGTGCTAGAATTTTGGCTTTTGGCAAAAACAAGGGGCGTGTTTGGAGTTTTGGATATATAAATTATTTTAAATATTATTTTACTTGTATTATAAATACGTTTTTAATCTTTTTTTTTTTTTTTTTTTTTTTTCAACTAATACACCATTTGAACACCAGTTGCTCGTGTAAATGAGAGTAAAGCTCGTGTGAGCAAAAGATGAAAAGGGTTCAATAGTTGACTGTTGCCACCGGTTTTCTGGACCTTCTTCTTTTTTGCATCCTGTATATCGTGTCTAATTTGACTTTCTTTTCTAACCATTATCAAACTAGTCATGGCTCCCTGCCACGGCCAAAACCAAAACAACCTTGAGCGCTTGTGCAGCTATATAGATATTTATGGACACGCACACACGTACCAGTAATGATTGACCTGAACAAGTTGAACTTATTATTCAGACAAAATTTTCCGTATTATCGACATTCTACTTCAGACAAGTAATCCATCCAGCAGTTGACAGTGTCTCTGTTTTACTATTTCCATCTGCGAGTACCAATTAACACAATATGTTTGAATCAGTCCTGAATCTACGGCTAGAGTGCATTTAGCATATCTGGCAAGACGGTGTCATCGCGCCAGTGGTTAAAGTTTTAGAGAATGATGAGTCAAAGATCGTCCTGCCAGAAGGGTCTCCGTCTCTGCATAGGATGAAAACTCCGAGTCCTCTGATCATCCGTCGGTGCCAAATCAGAAAAGAGAGTCCCAGTCCCTGTTCCCGCACCAGTGCAATTAGCAATCAGACTTCTGCAACGAGTCAGAAGTCTCGATCTTCATCCAGCTTCATCAGAGCTGCCAGCAAGAGAGTGGCTGGTGTTCTTGCTGCGCTTCTCTTTTGGAAGAGGGAGGTCAACTCCACCGCTGATCAAACTAAAGCCAACAAAATAAAACGTGCTGTTACAGGCTTGTCCGGTGAGTAAATCTTTCCCACTATGCCATCTCGGCATTGATCTATGCATCTTCATTTGCCCCCAAGTTGGACAATGGTCTGGCATGATCATATACTAGAATACAAAAGTAAATCAAGAAGCAGATTCTGATATTGAGGTTACCGATAAGCTTATACTTGTTACATGACGGGATTTTGATACATCTCACTATATTGTCAATCCACTTTTGCATGGAAGTGGCATGAATTAACCTTTTTTTTTTTTTTTTTGGTTGGTTCTTGACGTTCTGCAGATTCAATAGATGATTCTACTGGAAGCACTAGTAAATCTTCATCAAGAACAAAATACTCCTACTCTCGCGAGTCTTCCAATGACAATATTATACAGATTGGTTCACTTCAAACTTCGTTTAATGAGATATCGAAGGCAACTGGCAATTTTTCTTCAGCAAATATAATTGGTGAGGGAGCTTTCGGAACTGTTTACAAGGGGAAGCTTTGGGATGGATTTATGGTCGCCATAAAGCGCGCTAAAATGGTAAGGAGAATTAACCACCAACAAATGTAAATCTTGAGGGGCCATTTCCTGTGAATTTGCGATGTAACACGAAAATTTTGGCAGGAATTTTTCGATCAACGTTTGTCAGCAGAGTTCAAGAATGAAATTTTGACATTATCAAAGATCGAGCACCTAAATTTGGTAAGATTTCTGGGGTACCTGGAGCATGGAATCGAGCGCATAATCATCGTTGAATATGTCAGCAATGGAACCCTTAGAGAGCACTTGGACGGTAGGTGAAGCAACAGAGCGCACGAACACGAACCCCATATTTTCACTTGAATTGCAATGGCATTCATTTGCTTTCTGAGATAAATAACGTCCACACGAACTTCCACGTTAATTAGCTGATTCTGGAATAGATTTTTTGTTGAGCTTCTTTGCTATGGGAAAACTTAGCATGCATTGTCAACTATAAGGGGGGGGGGGGAAGTTATGTCCTGATACTGATAGATTTGTTATTATTGCTTGTTGTCATCGTCCCCTTTTTTTTTGTCCTTTTTTTCTTCAAGTGTTAGGCTTTGATGAATAATAAATCTTAGTTTTGTTTTCTCCTAATCTGCATATTGAATCTCGGGTAGGTAGTAACTGGTAAAGTGGCAAGGAGAAAGCTCAGGTTACTTCATGGGATCTTGAGATGAATAAGGAATCCGGAATTACACTACTATATTTCTATCCGTGGATCTTGGCTGTAAATAGGCCTCCTATACATTTATTTCAACACAAATATGTTAGCCCTTCGATTTTAGCATGAATATTAGAGACATCAAATACAATGATCACGGGAAAGTTGTGTGTCAAAATTGAAATCCAGCGACCTTGTGATGCAGGGACACGGGGAGATGGACTTGAAACTGCAGAACGTTTAGACATTGCAACTGATGTCGCTCATGCAATTACCTATCTCCACACATACACTGGTAAGTTAGTACGTTGCGAGCAAACAACATCTTCGTTTGCAGACTTTATTAGAAGTACTCAACAGTTCCTAATTTTTTGGCTCAACCTGAAATTACAGAGCCTCCAATTATCCATAGAGATATTAAAGCATCAAACATACTGCTCACGGAAAAATACCGTGCGAAAGTAGCTGACTTTGGATTTGCACGGCTAGCCGCTGAGGATCCTACAGCAACTCACATTTCCACTCAAGTTAAAGGAACAGCTGGCTACCTGGATCCTGAATACCTCAAGACATACCAACTCACTGAAAAGAGTGATGTATATTCGTTTGGCGTATTGCTTGTGGAAATGATAACAGGCAGACATCCCATTGATTCGAACAAAAGCACAGATGAGAGGGTAACCGTAAGATGGGTAAGTGAATTCATGGATCAAGACAAACGTAACCTGCTTTCTGCCTGATTATAAGCTTCTGCAATTTTCATAGTAGATCATTTGCATGCGATTCAGAACCATCATGGTGATGTTTGCTTGCAGGCTCTGAGGAAATTAAAGGACGGAGAAGTTGCGGTGGTAATGGACCCAAGGTTACGAAGAAATCCAGCATCAAACCAGGCTGTTGAAAAGGTACTCAAACTTGCTCGGCAATGCCTTGACCCTTCAAGGCGGGCAAGACCTTCCATGAAGAGATGTGCTGAGGTATTGTGGCAAATCAGAAAGGAATTCAAGGACAGCAGCATTGTTCACACTGCTGCTGCTGCTGCTGCTACTCACCATTCAGCAAATGTCGTCGAGGGGGGTATAAGAAGGGATTGGCAGGACCTATACGGGATTCCAGATACTGATTACTACAGATTTTATTCATCCAAGGAAAAAAAATCAAGAACTACTCATGACTGCTTAGAGATTTGAATGTTTTTTTTTTTAAGAAAAAATTTGAATGAATTTGACTTCAATCATTATTATGAATCAAAGTATGTCTCTTGAAATTATAGATTATTTTTATATATTATTCATCTATAAAATTTTTACATCCACAGCGAGATTCGAGAAAATGATCATCCCTACTGTTAGTTAAAGTCAACTTGAATTCACTTATAAGCGTAATTTTCACAAAAAAAAAAGGGCGAGGGGGGCTGTCTAGCTCTAGATTGCTCCCGGTGTCACGACGAATGCGTGAGAATCCAGTTGTATTGTGGAGTCTCGAGGCGAGCGAAGAGCGCCTTCCAGTTTACTTTTTGCCCCACGAACCACACGTGGCCTTGTCCCATCACCCATCTCAATTCCGCTCATTTATTCTCTTTCTTCTTCTCTCGTTCTTTCTTGTTGTCTGGCTTTCTCAAGCAAGGTACAAAAAAAACCATCATTATTGTAAGATGATAAGTTTACTAGTGGTACTACACTGGACTGTGTTGGATATTTAGAGCCCCAGCAAATTCACACTCGAAAACACTAGAAAACGGTTGACTCCAGCACCACTTCTTCAGCCGCCGAAGCCGTCCAATCACTCCCTCCCTTCTCCTCCGCCGATTCCCATGCGATATGACATGAATGCGACGCCGGGGGTGATGATGATGCAAGCAAAGTATACAAACTGCAACTCACTCTTTCTCTCTCTCACACACACAAGCACTTTTCCAGATATTTTTTCTTTCTCTTCTTTCCTAACTAGAAAACAAAAAAAGAGACCGTACTTTTTTCGCATTTCCATCTGTTTGTTTGTCAGATTTCCCTTTAATATCTCCAAATTGATGAGTTGCATAATAGTAGCATATTCCCCCGCCCGCATCCCTACCATCTCTCCCATTCTCTTTTTAGAACTTTGTCCAAAATATCTCCCGAACCTTCACTCAAATATTATTGAAACTTAACAGGCACTCATATTTCGCTTCCTCTTCAGCAGTAGCACCGTTCTCAAGTCTCAACACAGATTAGGTAATCATGTCATGTTATTGATATTTTACCAATTTTTTTTCCATTAATTAACGAAATATTCACATGAACAATGTGTTTCAGAATCTCATTTCTGCATTTTTCTTCTCAGTAGGAGTTAATTTTTCATTCTTATGGCTTGATTCTTGGAATACGATTCAAATATTTGGATTTTGATTTTTTTTTTCTGTTTTGGTCTATAGAAGAAGTATCTGCTGATAATAGGACCAGATATGGAAGTGGCGGCAACATCAAGCGGTAATGAAACCATAAAATCAGGAATTCCAGCGGAAGTACCAGCGGTTGCGCAGCCGCTGGCCGGAGAGGCTACGGAGATTGCGTCCAATATCATCTATCATGCTCAATACAGTCCTCATTTCTCCCCTTTCAAGTTCGAGCCAGAGCAAGCTTTCTATGCCACTGCTGATAGTGTTCGTGATCGGTTGATCAAGGTATAGAATTTGAATTGCCGTTGTAAATTTTGTTTTTTCGGTTTGCCTTTGTTGAATCAATTGTTGATTGTATGTTTGGATTTGACTAGCGACTGAAGATGGTGACGTCTTTGCTTTGTTAGCATATCCAATGTTGTTAATTATCTACCTTATGCATGTACTTGGTCATGCGGTCTATTTGGAAGCTTGTAAGCAATTTTGCTCCTTTTTGTGGCAAATTTGCTATACTGCTCTGTAATTTGTTGTAGATATAGCAGTGATTATTCTCCAGAATGTGTGGCATGTGCCCAAGGTTGATTTGCGTTGTCTATTCATCTTTGAAGTGGACTTGCCGGCCCTGTGCGATGTGCATACCCGCACTCGTTACGGAGTCATGTATATAAGGAAAGATTTTTGCGGAGTTCATTTGCTAGTGTATGACTTGAAAAGAATTGCATTTTCAAACTCAATGAACACCTTCATGCATTGAGCTCATCTCTTTGTGTATCTGGTTCCATTTCATCATACAAGTGCTTTGCTTGGTAAAAGTGTTCTTTTTGTGGCTTGCAAATCGTTGTGCATGTTCTTAATGCTAGAGTCTGCTTTGTACTTTTTTCACAAGTTTCACCCACTCTAATTTTTCTTTTTATTGTTTGTTGTTTACACCGACAGCAATGGAATGATACGTACCTCCATTATCACAAAGTCAACCCAAAGCAAACATACTATTTGTCCATGGAGTATCTGCAAGGGCGAGCTTTGACTAACGCAATTGGAAACCTTGATATCCAAGATGCTTATTCTGATGCTTTGAAGAAATTGGGTCATGAACTAGAGGAAATCGTTGAGCAGGTAGTTCCACTTTAAGAAACTTTTCACATTCTCTTTACTTTGTCAGTTGGGATCTGACAGTGTGCAATGCTGCATAGCCATTTAGTTAGGTGTTCTTACAATTATTTTTCGTTTCCAATTGGATCAGTGAACACTCTTTAAATACTAAAGTTGATACAAGTCTATTTCATTCTAACTTTTGTTATTGGCTTAAACCTAGCATGATGTATTTCCAATGCAATTCTTAAAATTGTATATTGTAGGAGAAAGATGCAGCACTTGGAAATGGTGGTTTAGGAAGACTTGCTTCGTGCTTTCTAGACTCAATGGCGACATTGAACTTGCCAGCTTGGGGTTATGGTTTGAGGTACAGATATGGGCTTTTTAAGCAGCGGATCAGCAAAGGAGGTCAGGAGGAAATTGCCGAAGATTGGTTGGAGGTTTGTCTTTTTCTACTGTCATACTCATTCTTTAGTCATGGGACTCCTATAGGGTTTCATCTGGTACAAATTTATGCAGAAATTTAGTCCATGGGAGATTGTCAGGCATGATGTTGTATTCCCCATCAGATTTTTTGGTCACGTTGACGTCCTTCCTACTGGCTCGTAAGTGCAACTTCTGTATGTGCAACTTTAACTTCTGTATGTGTTGACTAAAAGTTCAATAGCACAACTTCCAGATTGGATTTTCGTTCTTATTCATAGTGCTATTCATATGGTTTATCATTTCTTTTAATTCTTTGTCCGGTTTGTAGCCGCAAATGGGTTGGTGGAGAGGTCATTCAAGCTGTTGCCTATGATGTACCAATTCCAGGGTACAAGACCAAGAATACTAACAGTCTTCGCCTTTGGGAAGCCAAAGCCTGTGCTGAGGACTTCAACTTGTTTCAGTTCAATGATGGGCAGTATGAATCTGCTGCACAGCTCCATGCTACGGCTCAACAGGTTGGCTTACCCTTGTACTCTTAATAAAGTTAGTTATCAGATCAAGCAAAGACTTTAATTGCCAATCATCTGGTCACTTAAAGGAAATCCAGATCCGACTTCCAAAATTCAATCTCAGACTTTCTGTTGGTTTATATATTAATTTGTTCTGTCGGTTGGTTCTCTGTGGCATCCTTACGTCATGTATTTGCAGATATGTGCTGTTCTTTATCCTGGGGATGCTACAGAAAGTGGAAAATTGTTAAGACTTAAGCAACAGTTTTTCCTTTGCAGTGCTTCACTTCAGGTTTGCCATATTCCTTGGTGTATTTTCCTCTTTTCCTTTTCTTTCCATGGTGGGCGCCTACACAGTTCAGTCTAGAAGCGGTGCATGTCAAAGGTTAAAAGGATATTTGCCTTGGGATATTGATGATTCCAAACCTTAAGTTTTTTATGTTCAGTGAAACCTCTATTCAGTAAACATGCCTAAACTCGGTGATATTTACACGTAAAGGAGACTGGAATACCTAATAAAATGCTTTAGGCTTTCAGCAACAAACAAGCAAAGTTTCTTTTTAAGGAGAGACAAAGTTTCTTTTTAAGCAAAGTTTCTTTTTATGATTAGTGAAGAACTTATTTCATTTCATCCTGTTTCAGGACATCATGTTCAGATTTAGGGAGAGACAAGTGGGAAAGGGTGTACTCCAGTGGTCCGAATTTCCCACAAAGGTTGCTGTGCAACTTAATGACACACATCCTACTCTTGCAATTCCAGAGCTAATGCGATTACTAATGGATGAGGAAGGACTTGGATGGGATGATGCTTGGGATATTACTACAAGGTGGTTTTGCATATTTCAGTTGTCTTCGTTCCATCCAAGTTTCTCAGTTGCCTCTGTCATCATGAACAAGCTTAAGGGACAATTCAGAAGCTAACTATCGACTGCAAAGTGAGCCAAACATGTACCACAAAAGAAATAAAGGAAGAAGCAAAAAATAAACCAGCAATCATGGATAAGCAATTGAACAACTAGATAAAATATATTGAACTTCACCTTTTAATAAGTGTATCATAAACCAAAACCTTCGACAATCACTACCATCATTCTGATTATGAGCACACACATAAATCATTTTTGAGTACTCTGTGGAACTTGTTTTCTCTGGTTCTTTTTAAGGAGCTGTTTGTGAAAATTCACAGATTTGAGTTATAAACCATTTTAATTTAGGACAATAGCCTATACAAATCATACTGTCCTACCTGAGGCTCTGGAGAAATGGTCACAGGCAGTCATGTGGAAGCTCCTTCCCCGCCTTATGGAAATTATTGAGGAAATTGATAAGAGGGTAATCTGTTCACTCACTTTCATTTATTGCTACTTGCTTGTTAGATTGATGTTGAAATAACTTGCAGTCTTGAACTCCTTGCAGTTTATTGCAACGGTGCAGTCAACAAGACCTGACCTTGAGACTAAACTTTCCAGCATCCGAATCTTGGACCACAACCCCCAAAAGCCAGTTGTACGAATGGCTAACTTGTGTGTGGTGTCCTCCCATATGGTAAGAAACATGTCTAAGTGGAATGGATATCACATCTCCTATCTTTAACGATTATCTTGTGATATCCAAATGTCAAATGCCCGAATATACCTGAGGGAATAATTAAACGACTATTCTTTTGTTTTCAGCTTTTAATCTGACTCTTTATAAAGGGGGAAGAGACTTTGGCATCTCTTTTGATTTGCAAAATTTACCCTCTGCTTGATAACTATCCTTGTGACTTTCGTCAAGATGAGAGTAAATGTTTAAGTTCAGTATGGTGTTCTCTAATTGGTGAACCTAACTCCTATATAGTTGGTCACAGAAGTTAGATAGCATGATAATTTGAGAAATGCATCGGCTTCTACTATATGTCTTTTATTTTATTACAATGATATGATAAGAGGCACACACCTAAAGTGTGCGCTAATTACTGGTTTCCTTTAACTACTAGCTTATTGGTAAAATTCCGAGCTATACTTCCCTGACAACAACTAATCTGAATTCATCAATTATCTGTGTCTGTCACTGTCATCTCCTCCTATCATTGTTGAGTTGCTTCCATGGCTTTTACTTATTTTATACTCTTTTATAAGTCTCTTAAATTTTCATTTCTTCTGTTCTAGAAGATTTTCACCTTTAGTTTCCATATCTCTCAGGTGAATGGTGTTGCACAACTACACAGTGACATCTTAAAATCAGACTTATTTGCTGATTATGTCTCTATATGGCCTACCAAATTCCAAAACAAGACTAATGGGATTACTCCTCGCCGGTGGATTCGGTTTTGTAGTCCTGAGCTTAGTCAAATAATAACCAAATGGTTAAAAACTGATAAATGGGTGACGAACCTCGATCTCCTCACCAAACTTCGGCAGGTACGTCAAGAAACTTGCTTTGACATAGTGGCATTTTTTCTCCCATTAAAGACCTTGCTTTGACATAGTGGCATTTTTACTGACTCTTTTCTATATTGTTTCCTTCTCTTCAAATAGTTTGTTGACAATGAAGAACTGTATGCTGAGTGGGAATCAGCTAAGATGGCCAACAAGCAACGTTTAGCGCAATACATAACGCAAGTGACAAATGTCAGCATTGATCCTAATACCCTTTTTGACATACAAGTTAAACGCATTCATGAATACAAAAGACAGCTGCTAAACATTTTGGGGACAGTCTATAGGTACAAGAAAATAAAGGTATTGTAGACTTCCTAATCTCCTTAGGTGTTTCAATATGCAATACATTTATTAGCAGTTGAAGGTTTCTAAATCAAGACCTTAAGTTGATCTTTCATACGGTTATCATTGCTTATTGGCTCTTTGTTATTTGTTCATTGGAATCTCATCCGATTATGGAAAAAATGATGTTAACAATGTTTATTACATTATTGTTAAAAATACTAACCCGTAAAGTATTAACTATCATTGTCTTCTGGACTCTATTCTCGTTTTCTTCTGGGAGTATGATCACTTCCAAAACAATGAATCATACCTGTATGAAATATCTTTCAAGAGTATATATGGTGATCCAACACCAATAGAGATTTCGTAGTCAACCTAGAAATGATTGAATTGTGGCTCCAGTGTCTTGCAATCTTTTGACTTTTTATGTGCATCACATGTTAGTATACACGAAAATTGGTTAAACAAAAAGGTGATTTTGTGTGTGTCTCATAATTGAATTAAAAGTTACCACTTTGATGGTACTGGGTAGGAGAACAAGGTGTTCTTTGAGAGATCAAATGATACTCTTTAATTGGGAAATTGGTTATTTGATAATTAGAAAGCATTGTTTTAAGTTCTGAAGATTTTCGGAGCAAGTTGTGAGATTATTGGGTCTTTTAGAAAATTGAGAGAAGGTTAGTCCGAACTTTGAAATTGGAGAGATGAATTTGTGTTCCACTATTGTCACATATCTTTATGGGCTGTTTATAGGTGCATTTTGGTGGAAAAGACATTCTTCGCCTGCTCTATAGTCTGTAGTCTGTGTCCTTTACGAAATCATTTACCTTTTTTTTTTTTACCTCATGCAGGGATTTTTCGTTATACTTTCATGGATGCCCATTTATTTCAAGACGGTAAAAAACTATGTCTGTACATGACATGCGATAAATAACATTATGCATCTGAAGATAGGAAATCAAAAGTTTCTCTTTTACTTGTAGATATATCATGTTGATTTAAGACAAGCAGCATGGTTTAGTGCTGTTCCTTGGAGCATGATGGCCGTGGCAGGTTACTTTGCTGGTGTCTTGTCAGACATGATGATTCAGAGAGGCATAAGTGTGACATTAACCCGCAAAATCATGCAAGTATGGCAATTTTATCAATTTCCAATTGGCTATATATATTGTTGAAATAACTAACTCGATTTACTCTTTGTCCTTGTAAGTTCCAAGACATGTCTTTTATCTTTCTTTCCCTTTCTTTATCACCAAAATGTATGACAGTCATTTTATAGACTCCAATGAATTTTCACGTGGACAGTAGAGAAATGAGTTTAGGATGTCTCTAGTAATGGCCTTTGCAATTATGTAATTTGTATATGGGAAATGCTATTTATAAAGAAACAGATTTACTAGATTTTGAATTTAAGTTTGGGAAAATTTAAAAAAAAAAAGTTTGAATTTAAGTCGGGATAAAGGCTATGCATGTGATTGTTTATATATGATCAGTATGTCTTTTGTCCCTCTGATATTGTGGGGTTTGCTGGTACAAAAGTAATCACATGGAACAATCGAGGGAGAAAATAAAAAGAATATTGTCCTCAGCCAAAAATCTTGGCTGAGTCATTTTTCAAATTTCATTTACCCTAGTTAATTGGAAACTTTGTTTTGATGGACCATTGTTCCTGGTCTTATGCTCTTTTCCTTTTTTATTTTCTTCCCTTTTTCTCAAATTCTACTTTTTTTTTAGTTTTATTGTTTGCGCCTCAGTGATAAATTCAGTTCTACTTCTACCAGACTTCTTTAGAGCTAGTCACTAATGGTGTTCAATATGTGATTTGTATTTAGTCATTCGACCTCACTTTTTTACTTCCTTACGGAACAAGATGGGACAAGTTTACAGTATGTATGAAGTTTTATTTTTCCTCTGCAGTCAATTGGTTTTATTGGACCTGGGATAGCTCTTGTTGGTCTAACAATGGCAAGAAGTCCATCCAATGCATCTGCTTGGCTTACTTTAGCAGTTGGGCTAAAAGCATTCAGTCATTGTGGCTTCCTCGTGAACCTCCAGGTTAGTATATTCCGTGAAATTCATCATTTGATCAGTTGGTTTTTTTGCATCAGACCTGATATATCTTGTACCATTACCTTGTCAGGAGATTGCACCACAGTATTCAGGCGTCCTCCATGGTAACTCTGTTGATTTTCTTGCAAAGTTTTATGCATTGTACTCGTTCAACTTTATTCTCCTCTACTATTAATCTCCTAGTTCTACATACCGATATCTAATTTATTGTCTACATGGGAGTATAACCTCAGTATACAAGGCCAGCCTCCCTCCCCTTTCAACACTTCAATGAACATAAAAAAGAAGATCCCTGTTAATATCTTCAAACCTCGTTTATTCCTTTAATTTATGAAAATCAGGCATGAAATTTTCTTGTTCGAAATCTTTACCTAATTCTGTCCCTTCTGTAAACTCTAGGTATATCAAATACTGCTGGTACATTTGCTGCTATAGTTGGAACGGTTGGTGCCGGCTACTTCGTGGAATTAGTGGGTTCTTTTAAGGGATTCTTGTTGCTTACAGCTTTTCTCTATTTCTCGGCTGCTCTCTTTTGGAACTTTTTCGCCACAGGGGGGAGAGTCAATTTTGATGAAACTCTTTAGATGTCTGTATTTCTGATAGTTTCCTGTTTGCTCGCATCATCTTTGTAAAGTAGTTTATAGAAACGAGAAAGGGTCAAGGATATTAACGAACGTTTTCAATCTAGCAAGTTCTTTTGGTTTCTTGGATGCAGTACTGTGGGAACTGGGAAGCCGGGAAGGTACTTTTTGGCCAACGAAAGTCCCAAATTTGTAAAATTCTGATTGCCTTGTATAAATAGGATGCTGATCCAGCGGTCCCTGCAGTACGGAAAATCCAATGTATTTTTGCAGTGTCCATCAGCATGGAGAGTGCCGCTGTTTGCTTAAAACGCTTACCAATGTTGGCTAACTTGTAACAATCTCGGATGGCTCTCTACTAATGTTTTGGATTTGCAATTTCAATTTTCGTAAAACAATCTGACAAAGCAATTTGCTTAAACACTAATGTGGTGGCAAATGTATTGGTTTCTTCGAATCTTTGTTCTCGGATTGAGGAAGACGGAGGATGGCCTTTCCTGGCTCGAACTCTGCCTCTATGATTATTGAATTATTTGTTTCTAAACAGGGATTGCCGTGCTAGAATTTTGGCTTTTGACAAAAACAAGGGGTGTGTTTGGAGTTTTGGATATATAAATTATTTTAAATATTATTTTACTTGTATTATAAATATGTTTTTAATTTTTTTTTTTTATATTTTCAACTACTCTTTTACTTTATATACATCAAATAGCAAAAAGTTACTGAAATTATTTCAAGGGATAATTTCAGAAACCTCTCCTGAGGTTTTTGACAATTTCACTGGTCTCTCCTGAAGTTTGTAAAATTATACAAAACCTCCCATGAGATTAAGGTTTTGATAACAAAATTAGTCCAATTAGAAAAAATAACACTAAAGAAGTATTTTAAGGAGAGAGATGAAACTTTTATTTCATAAATACCTATTATGTATGTATATAAGTTGTATTAATAAAAGAATAAAAATAATTACAAGTTAGAAATAATTAATAAATATATTTTACCACTCAAAAAGCACACATTTAATAAATTCGACATCACAAATTAATAATAAAATTACACTAATTATCACAAAATTCAGCAAAACAGATTAATCATCTCTTTTAACATGATGTTTGTTATGATTCTTGTGATTTTAAATAGAAAAATTTTCAAATTTTGCCTTTTTCCCTCTTATTTCTCTTTTACTTCCATGAAATTATTTTAGAACTATCACAACTTTAAGAGTTTTAAAGAAAATATCCTCATGAACAATTTTCTCTTCTACCAAATTCCTTCTTCTCACATTATATACAACTGATTTCTAGTTATTGTCAAATTATATCAATCACAAGATAATGTCATAAGGTATATCAATTGATGTTATTTTGTAATTACAAGTCATCATTCATCATTAAAGAAATTTTCAACAGTTATTTCACCTAATTAGTTACTATTAGTTAATTAGTACTCTAATTACTTAATCATTAGATATTCATAAAGGAGAAATGAGGGAAAAGAAAGGTAAATTTTGAAAAAATTTTCTGTTAAAGATCATAAGAATCGTAACAAATATTATGTCAAAAAAGATGACTAGTTTGTTTTTGTTAAATGTTGTATTCATTAGTGTAGTTTTGTTGCTTATTTGTGTTGTCTAATTTATTAAATGTGAATTTTTTGAATAGTGAGATATGCGTATTAATTGTTTCTAATTTTTAAATCTTTTCATCCTTTTACTAATACAACTTATATACATGCATAAGGGGTATTTATGGAATAAAAGTTTCATCTCTCTTCTTAAAGTACTTTTTTAATGTTACTTTTTTTAATTGGACTAATTTTGTTATCAAAATCTTAACCTCAGGGGAGGTTTGTGTAATTTTACTAACTTCAAGAAAGGCTAGTTGAAATTATCAGAAATCTCAGGAGAGGTTTTTGAAATGATTCCTTATTTCAAATAATACACCATTTGAACACCAGTTGCTCGTGTAAATGAGAGTAAAACTCGTGTGAGCAAGATGAAAAGGGTTCAATAGTTGATTGTTGCCACCGGTTTTCTGCACCTTGTTCTTTTTTTGCATCCTGTATACCGTGTCTATTTTGACTATCTTTTCTAACCATTATCAAACTAGTCATGGCTCCATGCCACGGCCAAAACCAAAACAACCTTGAGCTCTTGTGCAGCTATATATATATATATATATATATATACATATAAATATATATAGACACACACACGCGTACCAGTAATGATTGATCTGAACAAGTTGAACTTATTATTCAGACAAAATTTTCCGTATTATCGACATTCTACTTCAGACAAGTAATCCATCCAGCAGTTGACAGTGTCTCTGTTTTACTCTTTCCATCTTCGAGTACCAATTAACACAATGTTTGAATCAGTCCTGAATCTACGGCTAGAGGGCATTTAGCAAGACGGTGTCATCGCTAGTGGTTAAAGTTTTAGAGAATGATGAGTCAAAGATTGTCCTGCCAGAAGGGTCTCCGTCTCTGCATAGGATGAAAACTCCGAGTCCTCTGATCATCCGTCGGTGCCAAATCAGAAAAGAGAGTCCCAGTCCCCGTTCCCACACCAGTGCAATTAGCAATCAGACTTCTGCAACGAATCAGAAGTCTCGATCTACATCCAGCTTCATCAGAGCTGCCAGCAAGAGAGTGGCTGGAGTTCTTGCTGCGCTTCTCTTTTGGAAGAGGGAGGTCAACTCCACCGCTGATCAAACTAAAGCCAACAAAGTAAAACGTGCTGTTACAGGATTGTCCGGTGAGTAAATCTTTCCCAGCATGCCATCTTGGCATTGATCTATGTATCTTCATTTGCCCCCAAGTTGGACAATGGTCTGGCATGAGCATATACTAGAATACAAAAGTAAATCAAGAAGCAGATTCTGATATTGAGGTTACCGATAAGCTTATACTTATTACATGACGGGATTTTGATACATCTCACTATATTGTCAATCCACTTTTGCATGGAAGTGGCATGAATTAACCTTTTTTTTTTTTGGGTTGGTTCTTGACGTTCTGCAGATTCAATAGATGATTCTACTGGAAGCACTAGTAAATCTTCATCAAGAACAAAATACTCCTACTCTCGCGAGTCTTCCAATGACAATATTATACAGATTGGTTCACTTCAAACTTCGTTTAATGAGATATCGAAGGCAACTGGCAATTTTTCTTCAGCAAATATAATTGGTGAGGGAGCTTTCGGAACAGTTTACAAGGCGAAGCTTTGGGATGGATTTATGGTCGCCATAAAGCGCGCTAAAATGGTAAGGAGAATTAACCACCAACAAATGTAAATCTTGAGGGGCCATTTCCTGTGAATTTGCGATGTAACACGAAAATTTTGGCAGGAATCTTTTGATCAACGTTTGTCAGCAGAGTTCAAGAATGAAATTTTGACATTATCAAAGATCGAGCACCTGAATTTGGTAAGATTTCTGGGGTACCTGGAGCATGGAAACGAGCGCATAATCATCGTTGAATATGTCAGCAATGGAACCCTTAGAGAGCACTTGGACGGTAGGTGAAGCAACAGAGCACGAACACGAACCCCATATTTTCACTTGAATTGCAATGGCATTCATTTGCTTTCTGAGATAAATAACGTCCACACGAACTTCCACGTTAATTAGCTGATTCTGGAATAGATTTTTGTTGAGCTTCTTTGCTATGGGAAAACTTAGCATGCATTGTCAACTATAAGGGGGGGAAAAGTTATGTCCTGATAGATTTGTTATTATTGCTTGTTGTGATCATCCCCTTTTTTTCTTCAAGTGTTAGGCTTTGATGAATAATAAATCTTAGTTTTGTTTTCTCCTAATCTGCATATTGAATCTCGGGTAGGTAGTAACTGGTAAAGTGGCAAGGAGAAAGCTCAGGTTACTTCATGGGATCTTGAGATGAATAAGGAATCCGGAATCACACTATATTTCTATCCGTGGATCTTGGCTGTAAATAGGCCTCCTATACATTTATTTCAACACAAATATGTTAGCTCTTCGATTTTAGCATGAATATTAGAGACATCAGAGCATCAAACATAATGATCACGGGAAAGTTGTGTGTCAAAATTGAAATCCAGCGACCTTGTGATGCAGGGACGCGGGGAGATGGACTTGAAACTGCAGAACGTTTAGACATTGCAACTGATGTCGCTCATGCAATTACCTATCTCCACACATACACTGGTAAGTTTGTACGTTGCGAGCAAACAATAATATCTTCGTTTGCAGACTTTATTAGAAGTACTACTCAGTTCCTAATTTTTTGGCTCAACCTGAAATTACAGAGCCTCCAATTATCCATAGAGATATTAAAGCATCAAACATACTGCTCACGGAAAAATACCGTGCGAAAGTAGCTGACTTTGGATTTGCACGGCTAGCCGCTGAGGATCCTACAGCAACTCACATTTCCACTCAAGTTAAAGGAACAGCTGGCTACTTGGATCCTGAATACCTCAAGACATACCAACTCACTGAAAAAAGTGATGTATATTCGTTTGGCGTATTGCTCGTGGAAATGATGACAGGAAGGCATCCCATTGATTCGAACAAAAGCACAGATGAGAGGGTAACCGTAAGATGGGTAAGTGAATTCATAGATCAGGACAAACGTAACCTGCTTTCTGCCTGATTATAGGCTTCTGCAATTTTCATAGTAGATCATTTGCATGCGATTCAGAACCATCATATCATGGTGATGTTTGCTTGCAGGCTCTGAGGAAATTAAAGGACGGAGAAGTTGCGGTGGTAATGGATCCAAGATTACGAAGAAATCCAGCATCAAACCAGGCTGTTGAAAAGGTACTCAAACTTGCTCGGCAATGCCTTGACCCTTCAAGACGGGCAAGACCATCCATGAAGAGATGTGCTGAGGTATTGTGGCAAATCAGAAAGGAATTCAAGGACATAAGCATTGCTCACACTGCTGCTGCTACTCACCATTCAGCAAATGTCGTCGAGGGGGGTATAAGAAGGGATTGGCAGGACCTATACGGGATTCCAGATACTGATTACTACAGATTTTATTCATCCAAGGAAAAAAAATCAAGAACTACTCATGACTGCTTAGAGATTTGAATTTTTTTTTTTAAAAAAAATTTGAATGAGTTTGACTTCAGTCATTGTTACGAATCAAAGTATGCCTCTTGAAATTATAGATTATTTTTATAAATTATTCATCCATAAATTTTTTACATCCACAGCGAGATTCGAGAAAATGATCATCCCTACTGGTTAAAAGTAAACTTGAATTCACTTATAAGCGTAATTTTCACAAAAAAAAGGGGGGGGGGGGGGGGGGGGGGGGGCTGTCTGGCTCTAGATTGCTCCCGGTGTCACGACGAATGCGTGAGAATCCAGTTGTATTGTGGAGTCTCGAGGCGAGCGAAGAGCGCCTTCCAGTTTACTTTTTATG